ACCTACGTTTGGACCATCTGAGTCGTGAGGATGGAGATGAAATTAAAAAAATTCTGAATAAGTATCCCCATGTATTCGCAAACCCTAACAAAAAGCTCACTTATTCAACAGTAGTACAAGCTGAAATTAAAACAAGTAATGACAACCCAGTCTATTCAAAGTCATAACCCTATCCAATGGCATTGAAATCCGAAATTGACAAGCAAATCGAAGAATTGTTAAATGACGGAATAATTCGCCCTTCCGGATCTGCATACAATGCCCCCGTATGGATAGTGCCGAAAAAACCAGACAGCTCAGGCGTAAAGAAATATCGCATGGCAATTGACTACAGGAAGTTAAATGAGGTGACAAAACCTGATAGGTAAAGTTTGAATTCACGCGACTATCATTCGGCCTACGTAATGCTTCAGCAATCTTCCAAAGAGCACTTGACGACATTCTCAGAAATCATATCGGGAAGAGATGTTACGTTTACATCGACGACATCTTAGTATTCGGCAAGAGCAAGGAAGAACACATTGCGAATCTAGAAATAATATTCCGAACACTGGAAAATTCTAATCTGAAGGTTAATCTGTATAAAAGTGAATTCCTGAAAGAAGAGATCAATTTCTTAGGATTTAATGTGAAAAAGGGAGGTTTCTCTGCCAAACCCGGACAGACTCACGGCTATAGTAAATTTTCCGCAACCCAAAACGGTCCATGACCTACTTAGGGAAAACTCCAAGAAAACAAGTCAATGAAGATGAACATAGAATTAAACTCCGAGCAAATTGAAAGTTTTAAACAGCTTAAGAATTGTCTAGTGTCAAACGAAATAATCTTACAATATCCAGATTTTAATAAACCTTTTGAGCTTACGACTGACGCCTCGAAATATGCTTTAGGAGCAGTCTTATCACAAGACAATAGGCCCATCACCTACCTCTCTCGAACTCTCAGTAGAGCTGAGGAGCAATACGCTACAAACGAGAAAGAGATGCGGGCAATAATTTGGGCTCTAAAGGAATTAAATTGTTACTTATATGGTGCAAAGAGCATAAAAATATTTACTGATCATCAGCCGTTGACCTTTGCGCTAAGCAATAAAAACACAAATGTAAAGATGAAAAAATGGAAGGCGCAATTGGAAGAGTATAATTATGAGTTAATCTATAAGCCAGGCAGGACGAATGTGGTCGCAGATGCGCTATCAAGGCCGCCGATGGCAGATGTTAACACAGTAACACCAACGGTTCACAGTGCCGATACCTCTTCAGAAGATCTAATTTATTCAGTAGAAGTCCCAATAAACACCTTTAAAAATCAAATTCTTATCGAGGAGTCCACAGAATCCTCATATGAATTCAAGATAGTGTTCCCTTCCTATCATCGGCATACGATCAAAGAACCAAATCTAATGGAATCAGATTTAAAGACTATACTGACAAAGTACTTGAATACAATCGTCATTAATAGGATCAAAACCACCGAACCAATCATGCTTAAAATTCAAGCTTTGTACCCTGATTACTTCAAAAATATTCAAATTAGGTTTGCTCGCATATTAGTAGAATATGTGATCGACGAAGAAAGACAGAAGCAAATTATAATCGAAACTCACAATAGAGCGCATAGGAACAATGCCGAAAATAGAAAACAAATCCTAGAAAATTTTTACTTCCCTTCTATGACCAGGAAAATAAAAAATTTGCTCAAGATCTGTAAAATATGTAAGGAGAATAAGTACGAACGACATCCGAACGTTTCGAAACTTCATGCAACTCCTATACCAACGCATCCTGGGCATACAATACACATTGACATCTTCTCTACCGACAAGTTTCGAGTTTTAACCGCAATAGATAAGTTTACAAAGTTTGCAATAGCAAAAATGTTGAATGGCAAAAGTGTCGAAGATATTAGGATACCATTAAGAGAAATAATTTTTTATTTTGGTGTACCTAAATTAATTGTATTTGATAATGAGCGATCATTTAATTCACAGAGTATTAGGTTCATGTTGGAAAACGAACTTGGCATTGAAATCTTCACAGCACCACCATATCAGCAAATGGCCAAATAGAAAGGTTCCATTCCACATTGTCAGAAATTATGAGATGTAGTAAATATGAACATCCCGATTATTCTTTTGAAGAACTTCTAGAAATCAGTGTCAACAAATACAACCACACAATACACTCATCAACTAATAAGAAACCTGTAGACCTTTTTTTTGGCAGACCAACAACCTTCGGGCCAGAAGACTATGAAAAAACCCGCCTCAATAATTACGAAAAACTCCTAAAGAAGCAAGAAAATGATTTGGCGTATCATAATCAGGGTAGAAATGAGCCAAAAGAGTACAAAGAAGGTCAGAAAATATTTGTCAAACAAAACAGGAGGTTAGGAACAAAGTTGTCGAAACGATTTAAGGAGGAAGTAGTAAAAGAGAACATGCACTGAACTGTTCTAACGGAATCAGGAAAAAAAAGTTCATAAAAGTCATATTAGAAACTAACAAATAAATGCACGTGGCCTTTAGCTCTTACTTACAGGTTGCTAAGGCCTTATGGAAATCCTAGATTATTCTCAATCTGAGATCGTCTTTATAGAAAGTGGAATAGGGAAAATCCAAACGGGTTATTTTAGAGTATTGCACTTTATAGACGTCGATGAATATGCAACAACATTGGAGCAGATCAAGACAAGTCTGAGAAATAACATCCCACCATCCCATCCACTTCTTCCCTTTCTCCTAGAAGACATCCGATCCATTACATCCCTAATTAACAGGCTAACCCTTTCTAAAAGACATACCAGGGCGATTAATGAAATAGGAACTGTTTGGAAATGGCTCGCCGGAAGCCCTGACCACGACGACTTCCAGATTTTGGCTGACAAAATGAACAACGTCATAGAAAATAATAACAATCAGATTATCATTAACGAAAGACTTATTGAACAGGTTAACAATGTCACTATCACAAATAATAAAATCTTGAAATCTCTTAAAAGTAATGAAAATATGCAAAACACCCTAATCCTAAACGAAAAATATAAAATTGATGTAATTAAAGAGAAAATTAAGAATATAAATATTGCAATACAATTGTCAAAATCAAACATTGTAAACACATTTATGTTATCTGATGAAGAAATGCTTGAAATAGAAAAAATATTTTACGATGATAACATCCCTTTTATGAACTTAGAAGAAGCATTGAATTTTGCTAATATCAAAATAGCATGTAATGATAAATTTATAATTTACCAAATTATAATACCAAAAACTTTGAGCAATGTTTGTAAAAAATTAATTTTAAAACCTATAAAGAGAAAGAATGCCATTATAAATTTAGACTTTAAGCAAATATTTGTATGTGAAAAGAGTAATTTTGGAATTAGAAATAATTGTAACATAATTGATGGGGTCACACTGTACCTATCCAGCGAATTAACAAATTTGACAAATAATAATTGTATCTCAAAATTAATAAGAAATATTCCTCATAACTGCTCTATTACGAATGCTGAACATATTAAGCAAGTAGAAGAAGTCGAATCTGGACTAATATTGTTAAACGATTTCACTGGAAATATTTTTGTAAATGAATCTGAACAAAAACTAAACGGTAGTTACTTGATAAGATTCCATAATGTTTCTGTTAAGATTAATAACTCTGAATTCGAATCTAAAGAAGTAGCATATTCCAAACCGTTACCAGCATTACTTCAACATGTGTCAACGAGGAGTGATATTGAAGAAATTTTATATTTGGAATTTTTAAAATAATTGCATGTAAGGAACAACCAACGAATCGAGCGATTGAATTTTAAATTCGAAAGCAGCATACTTACCAAAGCTGGCCTCGTGACTATAATGATATGCGTTGCATTGGTGATGGCTATTAGAAGAAACAAGAACAAGGACAAGATTGTAGTCCGGAATGAACTCAATACTGAAACAGCAGGAATTAATGAAGGGCCTAACAAGAATTTGATGTCACTACCTACTCCTGTTAGAGCGCAGGGGATTCCAAGCCGCAAGAGTCTTTACAATATTCCATTTTACTAATCAAACGGAACGCTTGATTTTTCAGCAGAGAGGAGTTAACGACTTAGTCCAACCACTCCACAGTGTCACACCAAAACCACTTCCAACTTTCCGCTGACACCGCAAAATCAGTCCAGCGAACTCAATCAACCTTCAACAAGAGGATCATATTCCACTGAACGATGGGAACAACATTTAGCCAACGTAGCAGTTTATGCAAGTGGCGTGATCGCCACAGCACCCCTCAATTATAGTTATAAGACACAATTAAAATCAATTCTAAGCTGACTTCTGAATAAAGAGGTGCATAGCACCGCAAAAGCAATTAACAATTTTTTTTGATTTCAATTAACTTTGACTTCTAAATAAAGAGGTGCATAGCACCGCAATAACAATCAGGAAAATATCTGATCACAATTAACTTATATACATATATAAAAGTTAACACACAATATGTTATAAATTCAAAATATATTTGGCACATGTAAATACAGTTCACACGAAAATATTTCATCAACTCAAAGTTGCACATCCGGTAGTTAACCTGTTAAACCCAAGAGATACTTGGCGCGTGCAGACAGAATTACCACGAATTTCTTTCATTTCATTTCAAACACATTTTCGTTCTATATTAAAAGTGCAATATCTGGCTTGAATTGCAAAACGTAAATAAAAGAAAATGAATTTAGTTTCGTAAGCAAAATAATGTAAGCATGTATTGGTATTACAGTAAATCAGGTTCAATGGAAATTTAATAAATTAAATAAATGAAAATGAATTTAGTATCGTAAGCAAAATAATGTAAACTTGTATTGGTATTAAAATAAGTCTCTTCCAAATAATAAACAGATAACGAAAACACTCTGTCAGTGAACTTCGTGAATAAACGTCAAATCGCGGTTTTCGACAAACCAAAATTAACAAGTATCTCATTGTTTTTGAGACCTTAACTCAGAAAGGTCTAACTGGCGCCCGAGAAAAATTGGGTAATTAAGTCACCCATCGCGCTAATGTAAAGAAGGAGGCCCCCAAGTATCCTTACGGAAAAAAGGACGCGTTTGAACGCAAGCCGCTTTACTAGTGAGACAAAAAAAAAAAAGAGACTGACCTCGAAAATTAATTGAAATCATAACAAAACAAAAAAAAAACTACTAAAGTGAACTCTAAAATACTCGATAATACGATACAAAAGAAAAAAAAGGGAAAAAAAAGGAACAACAAAATCTATCTAATCATAACAAAATCTATCTAATCTAAAACAATAGTGAAAGTGACTTCATCATCTGTAATCCAACCTATACAACGAGGACACCACATCAGGATACACCACATCAGGATACACTTACCAAGATGAAGATGACTCTACTTTTTTTATCGTAAGCTACTAAGAAATTATAGATTATATTTTGACAATATATTCCAAATAATTTTAAGTCTAATTATACTATGTAGCAACCTTTAGAAATTCCTTTTTGTAAAAAATATACTCCTTTGCGAGTTAGAACACAAAAAATAAAAAAGATTAAAAACGAAATAAATTATTTCTGTCTCTGTGTAGAAATTTAAACCTAATAACTGAAAAAAATTATCTTTAAAATGGCTAATCCCAACAATTTGATACGTCCACCCATTTTAAATGCCCCCGTTCAAAATCCTCCTATCCCTCCTAGTCCTCCTAACCAACCTGGTAGAAACGAACAAGGACAGATGACCCTAGCGGATCTTCGGACTGTTATCTTACAGTTAATTAACAGCCAGTTACCTGAGATGCTACAGGCGTCGTTAAATCCGAACGCCATTCAGGGAAACGCAGTAGATCAGGCTATCGATGTGGAACATTTAGGCAATTTAGGGGATTTAGATAAAATCCCAGACGTTGTCAAATGCCTCAGGGAATTTTCGGGCAAAGCTGGAGAATTTAATTCCTGGAGGAAAAGTGTTGAGAGAATTTTAAAAATTTACGAAAATCTCAGGGGTACGCCAAAGTACTACGGTATTTGAAATATCATCAGAAGAAAAATAGTAGGTAATGCGGACATCTCGTTAGAATCGTATAACACGCCTTTAGATTGGGCCGCAATTTCCAAATGCCTAACATTACACTACGCCGACAAAATAGATGTGTCGACGTTAGAATATCAAATGACAAGACTAATTCAGGGCAATTCAACTGTGCATGAATTCTATCAAAATGTGTATTCGCACTTGTCACTGATATTGAACAAATTAGGTGGTTTAGAGGCTGGAAATGAAGCTCTTAATTTACTGACACAGACTTATAGGGGCAAAGCCAAAGGCATCAATGGCGACTTACCTAGACTGCTGGGCATGAGAGAGCCAGCGGATCTACCTCAGGCCCTCCATTTGTGTCTGAAGTTGGAAAACCAAAAATTTCGCACTAATCATGCACAAAACTACAATAATCAACCAGCTAGGAAAGACTATCAACCACCATCAACTCCCAAATACAACTTTCAAAGGAACAGACAACCCTTCCATCCAAGCCTACATTCCATACCAACAGAATCTTCCTACTATGAAACCTAACAACAAGATCGGTGATCAAAGCTCTAACTACCCAAGGCATCCACCACCACGTCCTACAGCACCCAAGCCAGCAGAACCAATGGATGTCGACCGAAGCATTCGATCACAACAAATAAATTACGCGAACAGACCACCTCAACAGCAATTCCTAGGTAAAAGACCTCCAAACCCACCTTCAAAGCAGAACATTAATCCTGCTAAGGCACAACGTACCTTCCACATAAACACGGAAATGACAGATACTTTGGAGCATGACAACGTAAATTACGAAAGTCATGATCAAGACCAGGAATTAACCGAATATTATGACCAGGAACTAGAGAATTTTTATTACGACACTTATCAAGCCGAGGAAGATGACAGAGCCGTTAATGAAGTAGGTGCAGAACTAAGTGACATTCATTTTTTAGAATGAACTTTTCGTTCCCATACTTTGAATGTCGAGCGAAGAGCGGAGAAATCCTTAGAATCCTCATTGACACCGGCTCTAGTAAAAATTACATCCAACCCAATTTAGTAAAAAAAATAATCCCTAACAAAACTCCATTTTTTGCGAAATCTGTGGCGGGTGATGTACAAATCACATCGCACACGTACTTAAACCATTTCGGCTTGAGCGAGAGACTTAAATTTTTCCTAATGCCTAGCCTAAAATCTTTTCATGGCATTCTAGGTAACGATAGTTTGAAGGCATTGGATGCGGTCATTCACACGAACAAGAATTATATGGATGTCCGTCACCATACTATAATTCAACTTAAACAACACATAAGCCAAAGTGTAAATTCAATAAAGATACAGGATGATCACATGAAGGTCGAACAGAAGGAAATGATGAACTCGTTGGCAAAAAAAAAAAACCCCAAGCTCTTCTCAGAACCGGAAGAAAAGTTAACTTATACTACCAAAGTAATTGGAGAAATCCGTACGTCAACTGATACCCCAGTTTACACCAAATTTTACCCTTACCCGGCTTTGTTAAGGCGTGAGGTTGAGACTCAGGTAGAAAAGTTATTGAACGATGGAATCATACGCCCGTCGAGATCGCCATACAATTCCCCCGTATGGATAGTCGACAAGAAACCGGACTCTCAAGGGAATAAGCAGTTTAAGATGGTGATAGATTATAGAAAATTAAATTCTGTCACAATTTCAGATAGATATCCTATCCCTGAAATATCAGACGTACTAGGGAAATTAGGGAATAGTAAATTCTTTTCAATCCTAGATCTTAAAAGTGGATTCCACCAAATTCCACTAAAGAACTCCGACATAGAAAAAACGGCATTCTCAATTAATAACGGGAAATACGAGTTCACCCGTTTGCCATTTGGATTGAAAAATGCGCCTTCGATATTCCAACGTGCACTGGACGACATTCTCCGCGACCCCATAGGCAGGACATGCTACGTATATATCGAGGATCACATTCGGGATATTCATGACATATTCAAAACGCTAAAAGAGGCTAATATGAAGGTCCAATTGGACAAATGCCATTTTTTCAAGCAGGAAGTAGAATTCCTCGGATTTATAACCTCCAAAGCTGGGATAAAAACAAATCCGAAAAAGTTGAAACTATTGCAAGTTTCCCACAACCCAGAACTATCAAGGAACTCCGATCGTTTTTAGGTCTTTCAGGCTACTATCGCCGGTTCATAACCCTTAACATTACTCTTGAGAGGAGATGAAGGTCGCATATCCAAGAGACAGTCGGCAAAAATTTACGTAGAATTTAACGAGGACGCTGTAAAAGCATTTTCGAAATTAAAAAAATTATTTAATATCAAAGGACGTGCTGCTATCCTACCCAAATTACGAAGAACACTTTGAGCTGACAACTGATGCGTTAAATTATGCTCTTGGAGCAGTTCTCTCGCAGGGAGGAAAGCCTATTACCTATATCTCAAGAACACTGAATAAGGCCGAGGAACACTACGCGGCAAATGAGAAAGAAATGCTCGCTATCATCTGGGCCCTCAATTGCCTACGAAATTACCTATACGGCGCAGCGAAGTTGAAGATATACACGGACCACCAGCCTCTCACCTATGCTCTTAGTAATAAGAACAATAACAGCAAGATAAAGCGCTGGAAGGCTATATTGGAAGAGTATGATTACGAACTCTTCTATAAACCAGGAAATGTAATGTAGTGGCAGATGCCCTTTCTAGAGTGCCGGAAGTATCACAAATTAATTCAATGACTGAAATGACGCATAGTGACGACAGTTCATCACACAGGCTTATTTATAGCGTTGAAACACCCATAAACGCATTCAAGAACCAAATAATTTTTAGTCCAAATTCAACCAATCCCGGGTGATGTACAAATCACATCGCACACGTACTTAAACCATTTCGGCTTGAGCGACAGACTTAAATTTTTCCTAATGCCTAGCCTAAAATCTTTTCATGGCATTCTAGGTAACGATAGTTTGAAGGCATTGGATGCGGTCATTCACACGAACAAGAATTATATGGATGTCCGTCACCATACTATAATTCAACTTAAACAACACATAAGCCAAAGTGTAAATTCAATAAAGATACAGGATGATCACATGAAGGTCGAACAGAAGGAAATGATGAACTCGTTGGCAAAAAAATTACCCAAGCTCTTCTCAGAACCGGAAGAAAAGTTAACTTATACTACCAAAGTAATTGGAGAAATCCGTACGTCAACTGATACCCCAGTTTACACCAAATTTTACCCTTACCCGGCTTCGTTAAGGCGTGAGGTTGAGACTCAGGTAGAAAAGTTATTGAACGATGGAATCATACGCCCGTCGAGATCGCCATACAATTCCCCCGAATGGATAGTCGACAAGAAACCGGACTCTCAAGGGAATAAGCAGTTTAGGATGGTGATAGATTATAGAAAATTAAATTCTGTCACAATTTCAGATAGATATCCTATCCCTGAAATATCAGACGTACTAGGGAAATTAGGGAATATTAAATTCTTTTCAATCCTAGATCTTAAAAGTGGATTCCACCAAATTCCACTAAAGAACTCCGACATAGAAAAAACGGCATTCTCAATTAATAACGGTAAATACGAGTTCACCCGTTTGCCATTTGGATTGAAAAATGCGCCTTCGATATTCCAACGTGCACTGGACGACATTCTCCGCGACCACATAGGCAGGACATGCTACGTATATATCGAGGATCACATTCGGGATATTCATGACATATTCAAAACGCTAGAAGAGGCTAATATGAAGCTCCAATTGGACAAATGCCATTTTTTCAAGCAGGAAGTAGAATTCCTCGGATTTATAATCTCCGAAGCTGGGATAAAAACAAATCCGAAAAAAGTTGAAACTATTGCAAGTTTCCCACAACCCAGAACTATCAAGGAACTCCGATCGTTTTTAGGTCTTTCAGGCTACTATCGCCGGTTCATAACCCTTAACATTACTCTTGAGAGGAGAAGAAGGTCGCATATCCAAGAGACAGTCGGCAAAAATTTACGTAGAATTTAACGAGGACGCTGTAAAAGCATTTTCGAAATTAAAAAATTCTTTAATATCAAAGGACGTGCTGCTATCCTACCCAAATTACGAAGAACACTTTGAGCTGACCACTGATGCGTTAAATTATGCTCTTGGAGCAGTTCTCTCGCAGGGAGAGAACTGAATAAGGCCGAGGAACACTACGCGGCAAATGAGAAAGAAATGCTCGCTATCATCTGGGCCCTCAATTGCCTACGAAATTACCTATACGGCGCAGCGAAGTTGAAGATATACACGGACCACCAGCCTCTCACCTATGCTCTTAGTAATAAGAACAATAACAGCAAGATAAAGCGCTGGAAGGCTATATTGGAAGAGTATGATTACGAACTCTTCTATAAACCAGGAAAATGTAATGTAGTGGCAGATGCCCTTTCTAGAGTGCCGGAAGTATCACAAATTAATTCAATGACTGAAATGACGCATAGTGACGACAGTTCATCACACAGGCTTATTTATAGCGTTGAAACACCCATAAACGCATTCAAGAACCAAATAATTTTTAGTCCAAATTCAACCAATCCCTATAAATTCGAAATAGTATTCCCAACCATCCACAGGCACACACTTTCAGAAACAGATTACACCCCCGAACAGCTTGTTTTAACTCTAAAAAAATACCTTAATCCATCCGTAATAAATGGTATTAAAGCCCCCGAATCATTAATGGGAAAAATTCAGGAAATCTTTCCACACCATTTTGCAAACATTCGCATCAGATTTACAAACCTCCAAGTAGAGGATGTCAAAAATGATCACCAACAGGATGAAATAATTATCAGTACTCACAAAAGAGCCCACAGAAATGCTAAAGAGAATAAAATACAAATTCTTGAAAAATTTTATTTCCCGAGTATGAATAGCAATGATGAAATAATTATCAGTACTCACAAAAGAGCCCACAGAAATGCTAAAGAGAATAAAATACAAATTCTTGAAAAATTTTATTTCCCGAGTATGAATAGCAAAATTAACAGAATCGTCAAACAATGTGCGGTATGTAAGGAAAATAAATACGATAGGCATCCATCGAAACCCGAATTGAAAGAAACGCCAATACCCTCACACCCTGGCAAAATTCTTCATATTGACATCTACAGAACTGAAAACCAACTTGTCCTCACAGCATTGGATAGATTTTCAAAGTATGCGCAGTGCAGGATTATTAAGTCAAGAGCCGTTGAAGACGTGAAAGAGTCCTTACGAAAACTTGTCTTTTTATTCGGCGTTCCAAAAATTATTGTTTTTGACAATGAAAAATCCTTTAATTCGGCTTCAATTACATTTATGTTACAGGACCAATTGGGAATAGAAATCTACAAAGCTCCACCATATGCGAGTGCAGTAAACGGACAAGTCGAACGATTTCATTCCACCCTAACGGAAATCATGCGCTGTCTTAAAACCGAACGCACATACCCTACCTTTCTAGAATTGCTAGACAGATCAGTTTATGAATATAACTATACCATACACAGCACAACGGGACAGAGACCACTTGAAGTATTTTTCGGACGAAGAGTTAGTACAAACCCCGAGATGTACGAAAAGGCAAGACAAGACAACATTCAAAGATTAAGAGACAAACCTTAGAATCCACAATGAGAAACGAGAACCAATCAGACAATTCGACCCAGGAGACGTCATTTATGTAAAAATTCACAAGCGTTTAGGAAGCAAACTATCACCCAAATTTAAGAAAGAAATTGTCAAGGAAAATGGTTTCACCACAATTATTACAGAATCAGGAAGAGTAGTCCATAAAAGCAACATAAAAAACTGAATCCATTTTTATATTTCCCTTTGTTACAGAACCTTTTTAACTCTTTTCACCTTTTCGACAACCGAGCTACAAATTTTGAACTACACACTGTCACACCTCGTAACTATTTTTAGTGGACCTGCAAAAATACAGGACGGCACATTTAACATTATCCACATTATAGAAATGGACAGATACAAGAACTTCGTTGACGATGTACAGAAGGAAATCGTACAAACCATCCCTAAATCCAATCCCTTTTTCCCACTCCTAACACACGAAATATCCCAAATTCATGATATCCTAGAAGGCATAGAACCAATGGAACCACCCAGGAAAAAGAGATCCATCAATATATTAGGTACTGCCTGGAAGTACATCGCCGGATCACCAGATCACGATGACTTTGTAACAGTAAAAAATGCATTGGATCAAACTATCCTAAATAATAACCAACAAGTAGTTATAAATGACATCTTTACAGAAAGATTACAAAACCTTACCCAAATTACCAATCACATAACCAAAGCAATTAAAGATAATAAAGATTTTGTAAACGAGGCTGCACTCAGCATGCAAATTAAGCTCAGATTCATAAAAGAAGAATAACTAACATCAAATTCGCAATCCAATGGGCAAAACAAAATATTATAAATTCATTTTTGTTAAATAAAAAAGAAATAAAAATAGCACTGGAGAAAATAACAGATGACAATATTTTATTCACATCAATAGAAGAAGCACTCAAGTTTGCAAACATTAAGGTCCTTTACAATCAAAGAAAAATTTTGTATATCATTGTAATCCCGCTTACTAGCAAAGAACAATTCGATAATGTTATAATTAAACCTGTAAAAAGAAATAATAGAATCATAACTACCAAGTTTAATGAAATAATGAAAAATAACCATAAAATATTTGGCATTAAAAGTGAATGTGCAATAATAAATAATGTAAAAATCTGTAAAAGTGACAAATTGGTAAACATATCCAACGATACTTGCATCCCTCCGCTACTAAACGGAATGAATTCATCTTGCCCAATGGCACACGGCTACCATATACCCCAAATAGAAAATATCCCACCCGGTATCATTCTTCTTAACGATTTTATTGGAACAATAAACAATGATACGGTTAATGGAACATTTTTAATTAAATTCCACAACGAATTGCGAATAAACGACAAATATTACAGAAATTTAGAAGCTCCACTCTTGGAAGTTTCTCCACCAACAGCTCAACAAACGCCGGTTGAAGATGAGTTCATAAGCCTACTATCCTTGGAAATGTTAAACCACTTGCATATTAATAATACCAAGTAAATCCATGAACTCAAGTCAGACTTGAAATGAAATATATATATATATATATATATATATATAATATATATATATATATATATATATATATATATATATATATATATATATATATATATATTATATATATATATATATATATATATATATATATATATATATATATATAGAATGTGTAGGATGTGTAGAACTCCTTGTGTGGATTATCACACAATTCAATTGAAAAATGTGCCTGAAATCATCAAAATACCGAATATCGGAGGATCCTGTTATATGGGGGTTATACGATATCGTGGGCCTATATAGACAATTCTCTTTCAGGGAGTAAAGTACTCACAAAAAACTCCATGTGTAGAACTTCACACAATGTCGTTGAAAAATGTAGCAAAAATCATCATATTGCTGAATATCGGCTATACGATATCGTGGACCTATATAGATAATTTTCTTCCGAGGTATAAATTACCCACAAGGAACTCCTTGTGTGGACCTATATAGATAATTCTTCTCCAAGAGATAAAGTAACCACAAGGAACTCCTTGTGTGAATTATCAGACAATTCCATTGAAAAATGTGGCTGAAATTATCAATATACCGAATATCGGAGGATACCGTTATATTGGGGATATACGATATCGTGGGCCTATATAGACAATTCTCTTTCAGGGAGTAAAGTACTCACAAAGAACTGTAGAATTTCAGACAATGCAGTTGAAGAATGTAGCTAAAATCATCAAAATTCCGAATATCGGCTATACGACATCGTGGACCTATATAGATAATTCTTCTCCTAGAGGTAAAGTACCCACAAGGAAATGCTTATGTGGATTATCAGACAATTTCGTTGAAAAATGTGGATAAAATCATCAAAATACCAAATATCGGGGGGTACTGTTATATGAGGGCTATACGACATCGTGGACCTATATAGATATTTCTTCTCCAAGAGGTAAATTACCCACTAGGAAATGCCTATGTGGATTATCAGACAATTCCGTTGAAAAATGTGAATAAAATCATCAAAATACCGAATATCGGGGGTACCGTTATATGGGGGCTATTCGATATCGTGGACCTATATAGATAGTTCTTCTCCAAGAGGTAAAGTACCCACAAGGAACTGCTTGTGTGGATTATCAGACAATGCCGTTGAAAAATGTGGCTAAAATCATCAATATACCGAATATCGGGGGTACCATTATATGGGGGCTATTCGATATCGTGGACCTATATAGATAGTTCTCTTTCAAGAGATAAAGTACTCACAAGGAACTCTTTGTGTGGATTTTCAGACCACTCCATTAGAAAATGTGGCTAAAATAATGAAAGTACAGAATATCGGGGGGTACCGTTATATGGGTGCTATACGATATCGTCGACCTATATAGATAATTTTCTTCCGAGGTATAAATTACCCACAAGGAACTCCTTGTGTGGACCTATATAGATAATTCTTCTCCAAGAGGTAAAGTACCCACAAGGAAATGCTTATGTGGATTATCAGACAATTCCGTTGAAAAATGTGGATAAAATCATCAAAATACCGAATATCAATTGTGACGTTTGTAACAAAGAAAAAGACGAAAGAAATCCCATTAAACAACAATATAAAACTACTGTAACACCTAATAGAAAAACAAGTAAAAAAGAACTTTGAAATCCCTCCACCATTTGGTACCAATTTGGCAATTTTCAAAAAAATAAAATCCTTTAAAAATTCTGTTAAAATCTTACAAATACAGAATGTAGCCGTATATGTATATTTGTACGACGACGTGGACCCGCATAGGCAACTTTTGTTACAAGCTATTACAATATTCAAAAGCGAAACTTGAAAACAAATTTGTTTATATCTAAAATCATCGAAATCCCGAAAAAAGGGAGGAACCAAGAGAGTTGTAAAACGTGGACCTGCAATTTTTTTGTCATAGGCTGTAGTATCCATTACGAACTTCAAATGCGAAATTTGAAACAATTCCGGTAAATAATGTCGCTAAAATCACCAGGGTACCGAATATCGGGGGGTACCGTTATATGGGGGCTATAGAAAGAAGTGGACCTACGAAGCCCAATTTCCGGTTTTATGCTGTAGAGTCTATTACGATCTTCAATTACCAAATCTGAAACAATTCCGGTAAATAATGTCGCTAAAAACAAAGAATACCGAATATCGGGGGGTACCGTTATATGGGGGCTATACGAAGAAGTGGACCTACATGGCCCATTTTCTGTTTTATGCTGTAGTATCTATTACGAACTTAAAATACCAAATTCGAAACAATTCCGGTAAATAATGTCGCTAAAATCATCAAAATGCTGAATATCGGGGGTACCGTTATATGGGGGCTATACGAAGAAGTGAACCTACATGACCCATTTTCTGTATTATGCTGTAGTGTCTATTACGAACTTCAAATACCAAATTTGAAACAATTCCGGTAAATAATGTCGCTAAAATCATCAGAATACGGAATATCGGGGGTACCGATATATAGGGGCTATGCGAAGAAGTAGACCTGCAGGACCCATTTTATGGTTTATGCTGTAGTATCTATTACGAACTTAAAATACCAAATTCGAAACAATTCCGGTAAATAATGTCGCTAAAATCATCAAAATGCTGAATATCGGGGGTACCGTTATATGGGGGCTATACGAAGACGTGGACCTACATGGCTCATTTTCAATACCAAAAGTCCTGCAGACATAATACACATTTGAGTAAAATTTTATCAACCTACTTCATTTCGTTCGGAAGCTAGAGTGATTTCCACAGACGGATGGACATTGATAAATCGACATAGAATTTTATGCTGATCACGAATATTTATACTTTGTGAGGTCAAAAATGTATATTTCGAGGTGCAACAAACGGAATGACAAACTTAATATACCCTCCATATTACCCATGGCATAATTACAAATGGTAGAATAAAGCTACACCGCAAATATTTTTTTTCTTTCGGTGCCCAATATCTGTCAAAACATATACACATTTTGTGTATGTGTATGTATTCTAAATTTCGAAATTTCATTCATGTTTCGCGGGTTTTTTTCCAATATAAGAATTTTGTTTAAAAAAGTTTTGAAAATAAACAAAGCCAACTGTTGCATATTTAGCACAGAGTTGAATTTTTCTAGTTCCTTTGAGTTGACCAACCTTTCTTATTAAGCCATGGTATTACCTAACTACGAAGGTAAAGTCGTGAAATAATGTGTTCACAATTTTTTTATACCCTCCACCATACATAGTATGGAGGGTATATTAAGTTCGTCATTCCGTTTGTAACTCATCGAAATAATCATTTTAGACCCAACAAAGTATATATATTCTTGATCACCATAAAATTCTAAGTCCGTCTGTTGTAATCACGATACAGCCTAAACGAATTAAGATAGGAAGCAAAAATTTTGCACAGATTTCTCCTTTGTCTGCAGGCAGGTTAAGGTCGAAGATGGGCTATATCGGTCCACAATATCCTATAGCCCCCATATAACGGTACCCCCCCCCCTGATATTCGGTATTTTGATGATTTTATCCACATTTTTCAACGGAATTGTCTGATAATCCACATAAGCATTTCCTTGTGGGTACTTTACCTCTTGGAGAAGAATTATCTATATAGCTCCACACAAGGAGTTCCTTGTGAGTAATTTATACCTCGGAAGAAAATTATATATATCGTATAGCACCCATATAACGGTACCCCCCGATATTCTGTACTTTCATTATTTTAGCCACATTTTCTAATGGAGTGGTCTGAAAATCCACACAAAGAGTTCCTTGTGAGTACTTTATCTCTTGAAAGAGAACTATCTATATAGGTCCACGATATCGAATAGCCCCCATATAATGGTACCCCCGATATTCGGTATATTGATGATTTTAGCCACATTTTTCAACGGCATTGTCTGATAATCCACACAAGCAGTTCCTTGTGGGTACTTTACCTCTTGGAGAAGAACTATCTATATAGGTCCACGATATCGAATAGCCCCCATATAACGGTACCCCCGATATTCGGTATTTTGATGATTTTATTCACATTTTTCAACGGAATTGTCTGATAATCCACATAGGCATTTCCTAGTGGGTAATTTACCTCTTGGAGAAGAAATATCTATATAGGTCCACGATGTCGTATAGCCCTCATATAACTGTACCCCCCGATATTTGGTATTTTGATGATTTTATCCACATTTTTCAACGAAATTGTCTGATAATCCACATAAGCATTTCCTTGTGGGTACTTTACCTCTAGGAGAAGAATTATCTATATAGGTCCA